GGCTGAAAAAACATAATAGCCTTAACCCTATGGTGTAGTATTTCAAAATGATTTTGTTGTACACTGTGAACTTGTGCTGACACACACTGCTGACTTAGGTAAGGAGCACAGCTTTGCCCAACTGATGATTGACCTGAGCAGAAGGCATTTCAGTTGAAGTTTAACTTCTGTACACAAGCCATGTCACACCGTTGGAAAACCAGGGATGTTGTAAGTGTGGGAAAGCCCCATGCCATTGGCTCATGAGAGAGTCAGTCTGCAGTCCACAGCCTAGAAACAACAATATTATCTAGCCTGCAGCAAATGGCAGTCAGCTATTGCTCAAGTGTTCTCAAGGCTGCAGAGCCAAAGACTGAAGTTACACAATCAAGATAACTTCTCTACCCTACCCCACTGGGCAAATGCTTGCAAGTTTTCATCTGGATGAAAAACAAAAAAAAATAAAAAATATTTTCTTCGCTACACCCTTGCAGTTTCACTCTGCACTGAACAAGAGGAACTAAACTAGGAAATGCCAATTGCCATTTTCATTGGCATGAGACTTAGGACTTCAGTCATTCTGTTGGCAACATCTAACAACACTAGGAAAATGAAGGTGGATTAAAATAACAATCATTTACAACTTCATTGGCCATACACAGAGAGGCCTACAAGACTATATACCCTATTTTCCTACAAATAAAGCACTGTTTTTGCAGTATATTTTCCAGTATATCAATCTAGTCTGCTTTTAAAAGTTCCAAATACAGAAACTTTGCCAGCTGTAAGGAAAATTTACCACATCCTTTCAGCGGTACTTGGATTTTCAGCCAGTGACAATCACATGTACAGAACTAAGCCAAAAAGTTTTATGCAACGTATGTTTCATCCAGTACAAATTATTTCTACATCTAATGCCATAAAAGCTATTTGAAAAGTGTAAGTTAAAAGAGAATGCATATTCAAGGAAAATTACTTCCACGCACCAACATCTTTCTAAGAATCTCCAAGTCAGTTTTCATTGACTTCAGTGCCTATTTCTTGATTTCCATTCTAAGGCAGCTACGAGTCTTTTTTCAGATATTGGAAAATCTTCAGTCAGACTGACCACTTGCATTACTGAAGACTATACAGAAAATACACAGCAAAGCTAAGAATGGGGCTAAATCTGCAAGATACCTTAATCTACCAATCAGACTGCAGATTGTCCAACTCAAAAGTCAGAAAGTTTTAAGGAGAAATGACAATTCTTTTCTTCATGATTTCTCAAGTATAGAGCCAAAACTTCACTGTTTTTGTTTTTTTTTTTTTTTGAAAATAAATGGAACACCACACAGAAAAACTCAAGATTGTTATTTTATTAAATCATATCTGAAGGAAGCAGTGAACAGCTCTAAGAAATGTCAGCGGAAGATCAAGTGAATCGTTGTTCATTTAAGTAAAAATTGCTCTTCAAAAACATTAACATGGTATTCTTTTCATATTTGGAAATGCTTCCCAAAACAAGGAGTTTTTGACACAATTCCCATTTTCTTCTATCTGGAAGCTTCTTGAAGAGGGAAAAGAGGAAGGTCTGGAAATGCCCCAAGAAATGAAAAATCTTCTGTTCAAGAAACATTTAGATGTTGCACTAAGGGACGTGTTTTACTGGGGAAATATTGGTGGTAGGTGGATGGTTTGTCTGGATGATCTTGGAAGTTTTTTCCAATCTTGCTGATTCTATGATCAGTCTCTTTGTTGTCACCAGCTTAGAAGAATACTAGAAAGGTAGCCTTTGATTTTAGAAGTCTCATCTATGAAAACTTTTGGCATGACTCTGCTGCTAGGTAGAATAAAGTTTGTTATAAAGACTTTACCACTTAAAAAGGACTGTGCCTTTTAAGTCTTAGATTTGCCTTTAAGTTATCAATATTCTTTTTGTTGATGTTTAAACACCATTTTGCCTTGAATTTTACTTCTTTCTTCAAATCTTTGCTGATTCCAACCCAGCTAGAATGACCTTCTTTCCCATCCTGTAACTAGGGATGCAGTGGAAGTCAGAGCCTGCCTTCAAAGACAGAACTTGATTTCAAAGGTCTCAGTCATTGCTACAAGTGTTTTACCAGATCTAGCTGAAGTCAGAACACCTCAGTGGATATAAATATCATCACACATCTGCAGACACTGGGCAGAACCAACAACTCTTTCTGGATAGCAGCCATTGGGAGATTCAAAGACTGCAAATTTTTGCAAAGGGAAACAATTTAGCCACCAATAACAAATGTACTGTACTTGAAGAATGGTGTCATGGAAATCTCAGCACACAGGATCAGGATTTTAAAAATTACATGCTGCACTGCTAACTAGCTTTCCAAACAACCCTTTAAGAGTAATTCTATACTCAGACATTAAATGTATAAAGTTATAATACATTTTCTCTTCACATATATGTATATATGTGTATATATATATATATAAATAAAGTAGGTGTGCTTCTCAAAATTTAGAAGTTACTTCCCAGGAAAGATAGCTAATTCTTCCCTTCTTGAACATGGCTGCATCTTACAATTTCTACCAGAAAACCAAATAGGTAAATGACATGACAAGGCTCCAATGCCATTTTTCCTTGTTGATTCCAGTCTAACATACCCAGGTGAGCTTTATTAAAATAATACGCACCTACACATTCTACACAGTCACGTCTCTGATATCAGGCCAGTAATAAATCACTTTTTTTCACTGCTAAATTAATGATTTATTCATGAAAAAAACTACAGCCTTGTTTTATCGTTTTCTTGAAGTCACACAAGCCCTCCTGAAATCTATAAAACTTACATCTGTAACTAAGCCAACACATGAAATACATCCCTCACAGGGTTTGAAAACAAAACAAAAAAAGTGCAATTGATCTTGTCAGTTGATAAAGATTATTGTTTCTAATTAAGTTCCTATCCATGTTGTGCCCATATGTATTAGTTAAACTTTAACTCACCTATTCGTCCTATCTTCTATCAGCATCCTTCCAGCTGAAGAGGTTCACCCTCCACTTGCTTTCACAAAACAACATGAATGAGCATGTCAAGCAATTTATAGTCACAGAAGTAACAGAAGCATCTCTCAGGTCTTGTACTCTCATACAGGGCAGTCAGTATAGGACAAGCAAGCACAACAAATCCATTTACTGGCTAAACATACTCAACCACTGATCCTCATTGACAAAGACACCAGTGGACCAATCTCACAATTCTGATGAAAGCTGAGTATTTCCATTATACACCAATGGGACTGATCATGAGTACCCACAGTTGGTTTTAACACCTGAATTAGGTACCACTGGCAGAATCCAAAATAAGCTAAAAATTAAGAGGTAAGGAAGAACTAATACATCTTACGTGAACGATCATTTAGTAGTGAGGGCTTGTAGCAGGGCTGAAACTGTCCCTCCAAATAAAACTGGACTTTGAATTACTGCTTTAGATAGATGCTGAAGTAGAAAACAACAAACAACCTGAATAAAACAACAACAAGCAAAAAAAACCACCAACAACAAAATAAAGAACAAAAAAAGCCACTCAACAAATAACTGATAAATATTGTTCTAACATTCTCCTCTGTAAAACAAACACCTGCTTTCAGTCTTGTACATATTTTTATTCACACAACGCATACGCAATCAGGGTATCTTTGCCATGGTCTTAGTCTGAGTGACTAAGAGCACTGGAATCAAGCCAAATAGTAACCCCTCAAATAACAGCATTTTCTGTTCCCTGTGTAAGGCAAAGGGACCTGCCTAGCTATCTTAGTTACAAATTGCAGAACAGTTACTTGCAAGTATTACCTCCCCCTATGACAAAACTCTACCACGTTAAGTCAAGCAAGGCTGAACACATGGACTGCATTAAAGAGATGTGCCATTTGAAAGCAAAATAGACGAAATTTCACCTCAGCCTGTTCCAGTCCCCTGCTCTCAGCACTCTCTTATTTAACAGTCTATGCCCACCACAATGTTGTTAAAATGTTAATTACAGTGATTATTTTCCAAAAAGTGCAAGAAAAAGCCAGTTCTTCTATTTATGCACATCTATCTTTACCATCTCCAACATGTTTGATTTGGTTACACAAGGGGCAGTGAAAACATCTTATACCTCACACAACCGTACTTTGTGCAGACTCTGTCCAGAAACACCCACTCTACACTGCAAATACCTTGAAGCCATTGGACTGTGTCAGAGGACATTAGCTGCTTCTGCACCAGCATTTAGCACAGCTGCTTGGCTGCCTGGCACAGTTTTCTTGCAGGCCTTTCTAAATCAAAAAAGTATGCTTATGCAAAGATATCCTCTATCCTGATGTCTTTTATTTCTCTTTCACAGCTCCTTACTGTCCCTTCTATTCAGGGACACAAGGGCAACAAATGGCTACAGTTCCTGTGGAAATTTCTTCTTCAGTTTTAGGCAAAGGAATGTCTTATACTTGAACATGCATCAGGAGTACCTCCCAGACATCATCTAATATAAACAATGTATTAATTGTCTCCAAATGTCCGTTGGAAAACACATTTCAGTACATGACATACAAAAGAGAATAAATTGCATAAAACAGTTGTTAATAAAAGCATTTAATGCCTTACTGATATTAACATAATTTCATCTTCAGATATGACAAGTGTCAAAGTAGCATTAGAATGTACACAAAGCAGAAGAATATAAGGCACCGTTCCCCATGACTGAGAAGTTTATGAATGCAACTCCAATGGCAACTGCTGCTTTATTTGATCCTGCACATTTTCTAAATTGAATGCTTCTTGTTTATTCTTCCAAACTACAAGAATAGTATAACTACAGTTTTATTGCCATAGTTAACACAGCACTTAGCTACTCAATTAATGTATTCCTGTTTTAATTACAACATGTTCTTCACTAGAGCTTTTCACCGCAGTCTAGGCTGTACCTTTGCAGTCCTGGATATGTTTTGAATTGGTTACAAAGAGGGCAAATATACAAAGTGAGGACAGGAGAGGACAACGTCATTCCAAAAAACTGCAAGCTCAGGAAATCTGTCTAAAGAAAACAATGCCATTTAGGTTAACTGCTCTTCTCTTTCAGAGACACAATCAAAACTTCAGACACCATCTCACAAACTTGTAGGAGAAAACAAAAAGCTGGAAACTACTAAGAAGGTACCAACGAATTTCTAAAATTTTTTTCTTTGTTGTCAGAAGTGAAAACTAAACTGATAAAAACCAAAGTATATTCACCTTGTGCATTCAAAAGAGCCTAGATAGAACTATGAGTATGAGATGAGAGACAGCTCTCCCATCTGTTTTTAAAAGACAGCAAGTTCTCATTCATGCCTAAGTGGGTGACAGTAAGGGAAGGCTTTGATAGCTTTCTCACAGTAAGCTTTGCAATTGTGCAAGTTATGGTTTTAATTGTAAGTGCAAGAATACAATAGTCAAGAAAGAATTTCTTTGTTTCCAGCATCTCTTGTTCCTCTGAAGTACTAGTTTTGGCTACTGCCAGAAACTGCTTGCTGGTTTGCTTACATGAATTTGAGTTCACAGTAGTGGGTAAGTATGAAAAGCATCACTTTCAGACATTAGTTGAAGGATCACTCCAATAGCTTTCTTCAGTTCAAATATATAATTTGGGGGCAGAGAGGCTCAAATAAATGTAACTTACTCTTGTCAATGTAACGTTTTTTGCAACTCCTTGAAATGGAGTTTTTTTGTCTGCACCTACGGCTGTGAAAACTTCAGGATTAAAACCACAGCCAAGCACTGCCTACGTGCCATAAGAGAAGAGCAACATGGCCACCAGATCAAGATTAGAAAGATTACGCACATGAAAGCAGTTAGAGTGGTTAATCTGCTACTACACCTACAGTAACCGGGCGTAGCTGCACCCTTTCTAACAATGTCAAGGCTGTATTCGTTTAGCCATCCGAGACACGTGAAAAGACAAACAGTTTCTGGCACTGCAATCCACTGCGGTCTATTTAGAGCACGTGGCTATCTTAGCAGTGATTCAGAGCAGGAGAAGGTTGAGGTCGCTCCTCAGCCAGACGTGATGACTTAGGACAAAAATATTTTAACTCTCTGTGGGTTGGGTGAGTTTTGGTTTTGAGCTGTGCCTCTCGCAAGCAGAAAGCAGACATTTATGTAGTATAGAAGAGAATACATTATTTCTAACCTCAGCTGACCTTCGTCTTCCACAGACAATTACTCAAAACACACATCACAGTGGACCTGCAATAGTAATAATGGCAATCCTCTGAAAAAAACTGAGCAACTGGTGGCTTAAGGCATTTTATATACTACTTCAATTAAAGGAGATCATAAGCTATCTACTTATCCACTGGCCTCTGAAGAAATTGTTCTGAATAAAAGCAATTTCAGTTCCTATATTCATTCACCAAGAGTACATAGACGGCCACAAAGGAAGATCCCACATGCAGCACCCCATGTGCTCACCTGGGCACAGATGAGGCCACTGTGGGAGTAGAAAGTGATGGAAGAGAGGTACAATTCATAATCTTCTCCAGAGGTCTATTAATACCAAAGCAATATTTCTTCACTGAGAAGAAATGTGCATTCTGTGCATAAACTGAGCGCTGCACAGTAAAATATGTAAGTATTAAGCACAGTTATATGGTGACATACAGCAGCTCACTCAAGATATTAGTAATTATTACAAGGAAGGCACTAGAAAACAGTCATACTGACAGGTTGGGTGCAGATCACACAGCCCCAATGCACAGTTTTCCTTATTCTACTACTAATACTATTAATTTTTACTACACTGTATTGGTGGATATGGATGAAGCTTTTCTCAATATTTCACTTCTCCTCTACTCGTGTTATGAGCACTGTTCAACAGCTGCCTTTGGTATATCACCACCTCGAGAGAAGAGGGGGAAAAAAAATAAAATGCTCTTATAGCATACTTTGGTTTCCTTATGATGTAATGGCCTACATACAGGAAAACCAGTAATAATTTTCAGAGCAGTATGTTAAGTCTATTTTTATCATTTTAAACAAATGTAAATCCATAGAAATAGTTGCATAACAAAGCTGAAGCACAGTGTATTTACAGTTCCAAACACTACAGGGAAGTTTTGGGCAAAAATTAGGAGTGTCCTAGCCATGAAACTCCAAGAAGCAATAGGCAAGATGCACTGAGATGTCAGCGTAAGGCAAAGAATACCCATGAGTGTGGAAAACGTTACTTATACTGAGCATAGCACATGGACACAGAATAATTGCAATACTTTAGGAAATACTGAAGAACAATTATAACATCTCACAGAAATGTTTCAGTTACGAAAGAAGAGTTCTAACGAAGAATCTTTCCCCCATGTAACAACTGAAGTGCTTGAAGTTCTCCCTTTGTGTTATTGGCTGCCTTTTCACTTCTGAACTGTGAAATTCACTACTCATTTTTACTATATCCAGCATATGAATTTTGAAGTAATGAAAGTGTCCATACTGAAAGATGGTGTAAAAGATTACAGCCTGAGCTGCACATTGCAGGTTAGGAGATACTTCGTGCTTTCTCTTCATCATGTATAAACATTCTTAAGCATGCAACTTATGCTGGACTGGGTTTACTACATTCTAACTGCCAGGAAAACCTTATTTTATACACTGTACACAGGAAATGGCAGATTTGCAGTCAGATATACCATTTTTTTACATGTATGCTTTTAAAATTTGAGAGTTAATGCTTCTTCCAGCTATTTAGGTCCTTCTCATCTACCAAGCACAGCAGCCAGTTCAGGTAGGGCTCCCACAGCTGTTTCCTTCCCCGTGTGGCAGTGACAACCTGAGCAGCTTGTATCAATCGTATTTCCACCTTTATCAAGCTGAGGAACTGTTTAAAATTCAAACTAACCCCACCTTTCCACCTTTTTGATCAGTTCCTTCTAGTTGCCTTCCGTTTCTGACCCAGCCCACTGGTGGCCTCAGGAAGTCCTGTGCCAGCCCTGCTGACCGGAGGAGGGGAGAAGTACAGGCCAGAAGTGACATTTCAAAGGTCACTGGTGAGCAGGGCACAGGGATGCCACAAAGACTGTCACAGCCATATCTGCACTGCTTGTGGATGGGAGGGAGTTACATGAGAATTCTGTTTTGGCAGCAAGGCAGACTTTAAAAAGCACCATCCTTGCTTACCTTCACCTGGTTATTAATGTCTCTCGGCATGTTTTTCCAGAAGGTTATTTTTAGCCTGGATTTCTTCCCCAAACTGTGCCACACAGTGAAATAATAAACACTTAAACCAATGCTGAACCCAAACACAAGAAAGGAACAAATATTCACCTTTCTAACTGGCCCCATTAAAAAAAATACAAAAAAAGAAACTACTTACCTGTACTACACCTCACTACCACAGTTCAGGCAGAAGCTTAAATAGATGCATTGAAGTCAGTAGACCTTAAAGTTCAGCTTTCATTATAAGGGAGTTTGCCTTTTTTATTTCTTTTTAAATCCCAAACCAATAGCTGTATTCATCTCTAAACCTCTGATAAATCAAGTGCACAAATAAAGACAATGCCAACATTTTATCAACAATTAAAGCAAGCAAATTTTGTAGAGAGCAGTAATTCTGTTTTCATGAGATCAGCTGGCACAAGTTACTAGAAAACAAAAAAGCCTTTTCAACAAGTTCCTCATCAGTTGGCTTAAATTTTTATTAACAGCTCTATTCCTGTTTACAGGTACAGGATGAGAAATGAAGGAAGAAAAATAATATTTTGAATACAGTCTTCTGTAATAAGAAAAACATTTTCAAGCTCCAAAATCAATTCTTCTTTGGTAATGTAAATAAGAAAACGACACATAAAACATTAAATGATTCTTAGAAAGTTAGATATCATCTGTTTAGTCAATTGATCATTACTGGAAATATGCTATTGCATGTATCAGACTGGCATATATTCTGGTCTTACCACCTATTACCATCTGAAATCCATACCAAGTATGTGATCCTTCAGTTTCACTCTGGATGTATCTCAGGTTATTTTGTTTCTGCAATTCCTATTTGTTTGAGAAAGTATTGTAGTATTATGCAAGACATCAATAAGATACCACCTGGAATAATACGCACTTTAAAACAGAAGAGGATAGCTGGAAAGTGGAATGGAGAGTCTAGCTCACAAGGAATTAATTTAATCTGAATTAGAATTTGAATTGAATGCAAAAAGAACAGCCCACCTCACTTAACCACACTGAAACACTAACACATACTTCCAGGGAGTAATCTCAGAAGAGGAAAACAAATTACACTGGCACAAAGTATGTCATACACAAGAGAAGATGTTCAATACATTCCTAAAGGTACAAACTAGGCAGAACAAAAGTGCGTAAATTAGAAAACACAGAAGAAATGTGTAATCATCTAAGAATTAGGGCTCTAAAACCTCCTCTCCTCCCCGGAGAAACATGAAGAAACCTCCTAACAAGCTTTGAGACAGAATTTTGCTAGCTTGTGAAAAGGGGATGATTATCATAGTTGCCTGTGAAAGCAGAATGGTTCCAGCAAATCCACAAAGTTCACACAGGAAATGAAATCTCAAAATAGCATCTGTGCTAGCAGCAGCAACGGGCACACAAAGAATCAATTTTAGCTTCCAGGGTACTTCAAATTCTGGACATTTTCATACCATGATCTCTACCTCAAGTGTTTTCCACTCTACTCCTGTTGACCTCTCATTTCACTGAACCCTACATTAAGGCATTTCAGCCTGATAACCCTGCATTGTTCTGCTGCCTGTATTTTTTTCTGTGCTCTTGCACATGAAGAAGAGCTAACAGCATCCAAGCCAGTGCAAGGGCAGATTAAAAAGCTGTCCAGGGTTGGTTCTGCTGGGTGCAACGAATGTAGAAACTAGGGCAAGGTGTGCCACAGGAGCAAAAGGCTGGGTGAATGGACTGCTACATCAGCCCATGTCGTCCTTGGAGTCACAGCCTAAGCAAGTCTCTTGAATTCTTTTGAAACATTTTTATGGGAAGTCATAGAGAAACAATCCACCACTGTACATGGAGCGGTAGATAAGAAGAATGCGATTGCATACAAAAGTCTGTTTAGAGTGCTTCAACACAGAAACAAGTCCAGTTTTTTATATAGTCTGTAGCAAAATAAAAAAACATTGTTTACACCAAATTCCCAGACATATTACATTCCTCTTAAAAATAAATAGAAAAAAAAATTACAAAAGATCAAATTCTCCTCCTTGCCAAACCCACATGCTCACACACTGAAGTAAGTATGCCTCAAACACTGCGAACTACTCCTTCCTCTCAGCTGCCAAGCAACACTTTGCTAGGAGTGCACCAATGTTTTGCAAAGCACCACGTGTATACAGAAGAGACATTCAAACTCAGACTGCATTAAAAAGTCCCCATGGAAGTTGAAGATAACAGAGCGTTCACACATTCAAGCTGACGGTTTTCAGCATTTCCTGCCAATGAGCCCAGCAGTTCAATACCCAGCCTTTCTGTTCCAGCAGTTATTTGCCATGACGTGTCCACATAAGCAAGGGCAGATTACAGGTACCTTTCCACAGAGCTCAGCACTGATCACACAAACAGCACAGCAATTCACCCAGCCCTTCTCGCCCAGCTGAGGACAAGGAGGTTATCAGTCTGGAATATATGATCAGGCCTTTCTCAAGCGGGCTATTAGCAAGAAACACTATGGGAAACTTACGTTTCCACTCCACTGTTGCTGTCTTTGAACTCCACCCATCCCTGATATGTGTTTATACAGGTGAATTGCCAAAGAAAGAAAACCTTCCTCTGCACCTGAGGCCCACGGTTTAATTCTTCATTTACTCAGGTTCATAAAAACTGATAAAATGCCAAAAGGAATTTCCTCAGAGTTGAGCAAACAAGCTACAATAAAAACATGACAAAGAGGTAGCAAACAAGGCTATGGAAGTTAATTATTACCAATGTAAAGTGTGTTATTTCTCTTTCACAATACAGGTTTGACTGCCTGCACATGCTGCCAGGCGAGCTTAAAGAACCAGACAGGGCTGCAAGGAAATGGCCCAGCAGGAAGGAATCCAGGAGGCATCCACAAGGTCTTAAGCCTCTCAAATCCTTTGTTTCAGCTCAAGGACCAATCTGAACAAGGGTGGGTACGAACATACGTGCCACTTTCCGCTTCTTTCCCATCAGGTAATGGAGAAATGGGCAGGCCAGTAGAGAGGAAGCAGCTTCTGGTGTTAGATAATGAACCACAGCCTGAAGGACAGGAGCAGTAGGTGGTGGCAGTGAAGAAGATCACCAGTTTTGACACTTCCACTGGGTTCCTGCCAAGGTGTTCCACTTTATTCCAGAGGAGAATAAACCCAATGGGCAGCTGATTGAGACCACCCATTGGGCATGACAGAACAGGGCCACCCACGTGCAGGCAGGCCAGGTGTCAGTGCTGCACAGGCATACAGCTCTCACGTCACAGGGCTGCCCCAGCCACAAGTCAGCCACCCCATCACATCCCTTGGCCATCTCCTGGTGCCTCTGATCTTTATCCACATGGACTCTCTAGGTCAAACACCCTGAAGAGTGTACTTGTTTTCCTATTTCCACATCACACACTCTGGCTCACCATCTCTCTAACATCATTTTTCCAACCACTACCTGTAGAGCTGATTCCCAAACCACGGTCTGGAAACTGTTGGCTTTGGCAGCAAGCACCAGGAACCACAATTAAGAGAAAACGCTAAATTTGTTTCTTATACACAGCCTGCAATAAAGTCTGAGAGTTCACAGTGTTCTTGTGGTAAAAACCACCGCTTTTGGTATTATTTAGTACACATTAAAACAATCACAGGAAGTGATAAGTTGCCTGCACACAAAGTTTGTGGTTAATCTTTGAACATCAGCCATAACATCATCTTAAAGTCTGCCTCACTGCAATATAGATTTCTTTACGTGCTTTATTGAAATTATATTGCCTATATTGCCTATTAACTAAATTACTACTGTACTGATCAGCCCAACTGGTGAACAATCAGACACCATGTGCAAACTAAATGTTCTCCAATTTATTATTTCCCAGCTGGAATTATACCTGATGGTCTAAAGGAGAGACTGCAATAAAGCAAGTAGTAAATCTCCAGCGGATATTTCCAGTTAACTTAAATGCAGGGGTGAAAGTACTACATGCTGTATAAACGTCTGTATAACAGAAGGTACCAGAAAAAGGAGTCCATAGCTCAAACCGAGAAGTTCGTTCACAAGTGACAATTTCTTTGTAATCTGAGAATGGGAGGAAGAAATCCAGCACTTAAGACACATTCATATACTTTTACTTTTATTTCCATAGAAGGATATTTTCATTTGGCTGCACTCTTACTGAGTTTGCCTAAATTGATAAGCCCGCTGTGATCAAAAGGAGCAACACCTTGCTTCCCCTGTCGTTTGTATTACCTGATCCTCCTTTGTATCAGCATTCAGGTAGATATGTTGATGGAAAATAACACAGTGTCATTGTGTTTAAGTTTTTAACAAATGCAGAAAGAGATGGGAGGCTCAAAGGCACAACAAAGAGCCCAGGACTGAAATATCAGGGGGTTTTACATCCATAAGCTCAGACACACCATCACAATTCAGATGGAAAAGCCTGCTTTGTGAGCACCACATTCACAGTACACAACGCCATACAAAGTGCTCGCCAGTGATAACACTATCCTTCTTTTCTTTCTTAAAACAGTCTAGGTATATAGGAAAGTAAATGAAATAGAACACTATCAAGAAGTCATGATTCATATCAAACGGATTCCTGAGGACTCGTATAATCATTAGGATTACTGCTTTTTTGTTAACTGTTTTCTTTGTTATCTCCTCAAAAATCTGCTGCAAACACAGGGAGAAAAAAATGCATACAACACTGACTGATAATATCAGTTTATTTATAGCTCAATGTTTAGATGATGTGTGAGGCTGGACTAGATGATCACAAGGACCTCCCTTCTAATCTAAACAAGTATGTGAGAAGATTTTAAAATAAGTTGTCTAATGTGAATTCCTCTGCTAGTATGTAAAAATGTTCCATTCAGCTTGCAGTAAACAATCTACAAAAGGAAATCTAAATTTGAAATGTGTTTGTTTTCAGTTTTAAAAAGAAGCAAGGCAGCAGGTTTTAATTTCTAATGGCTTATGCATCATCTAAGTTCCAGTGCATACTAAAGACAGTGCAGATGATTTTGAAGTCAAACAATAACAGACATATATCAAACTTTGACATGTAGAGCAGAGACAAATTCTGGTTTTCCTGACTAATATTTCTTCATGACCCTTATGACCATAGCAACTGGATAACCAAGGCCATTGACTACCTTATCTGCAATCTTGCTTCTAGCAATGACCAATGCCCAGAACTTCACAGAAAGGACAGAAAGTTTGCAGTGACCTACAGCTTCTTATACAGTGTTGCATGCACAGACAAGTAGTTGGCTGTCCTATGTTCAACATTTTGCAATCTGCCAGGCTATAAGAGTTGACAAAATCATCTTCGTTTCTTTTTTGGATCCATAGAAGTAAAATAGAGAATTAAGCCATTTTTTCCTTTCCCCAGTGAACACAACCAAACATTCTTATTTAAACCACTCCACTACAGGTTGGCAGTATAAATTAGGCATTTTTTTTCCAGCAGCTGCCTCCATTTAATTCCCTTGATCTTACAGTTTTGGTTATAACCTTTCAGAAGGCATTGCTGCAAATCTCAAGCACT